CCAGCCACCCGGGGGGGGGGGGGGGGGCAGAATTAGGGTAATTACCATTCCTGAGAAAATGCCATGAATTACAACACAACCTAATTACCCTGATTAATTCTGCACTCACACTACTTTGTGAAGGGCTCTTAATGTATCAAGGAGAGAGACCGGGGTGGGGGGAGCTTTACCATTTTTGTTTTCATCGATGTAAAAGTGGAGGGCAGGGAAAAAAAGAGTCTGGATAAAACACAAGATGCTGCTCTTACATCTTCCTTTCAGGAGACAATGAACTGTACTGTGAATTCCATTTGCAGAGGTTTTACAGGAGCTGGAGTGATAGCAAAGACCGACACATTTTATATTGTGCAGTGTCTTCCTACACAGAGACACACGTTTGCTGTGCTCTGTGAAGTCCTACATGTGTTAGACAGGCAGCTCAAGAGCTTAGAGCAAGGTCAGAAAGACAAGAATGGGATGGATATTTGGAAAGTGGTGTGTTTCAAACTCCCCAACTGGGATATGAAGGGGAGAGCCCGCAGTACTTCAATACGCATGCTGTGTAGCGCGTAAGCTTCTGGTCCGGGCCCATTTGACTCCCTGAAGAATTGCAAGAGGGTTGAGAATGGAGAGTCATGAACAATTCCTGGTGCAAAGTGGCTGGTATTTCACAGCCTATTATTTCTTCAGTATTAATTAAGGGGAAAGGGTTAGCGCTGTGCTAACTAGCATTAGTCAACTGGGAATAAAGTAATGCCAGAAGGGCAGGTGCCAAATCAATTTCCCCCACTTTTGTCCAGAAAACATCTGCCAGATTTCTACGACGGGAAGGCTGACAGAGGAGCTCTAAGTACTGGTACATTTTACAACCACTTTTACATACTGGTACCATAAAACCAGTTCTTTCCAAATCTACTGGGGATCGCATGAGATGTGACATTGTGTCCCAGCTTGGGGCAGGAAGTCAGCCCCATGCTTGCTGGCACTGCTGTGCTATAGCTGGGCATCTTTCTTGGCGCTACAGCCTCCCAGCAAATGCCACCCTGCCCTCATGCGAGGTGGAGATGGACAATAATGCAAAGGCCCAGAGCAGCAGGGGAAGAGATAAGAGGGACTCGATATTCAAGAAGGGTTCTTTAGTACTAAAATGCCTTGGCAATGGCTGTGTGAAAAATGCAAGTGGCTACATTAGAGCTGAAACTCTCACGTGAATGGAACAATGAAGGGGACTAAGCACTATCCATTGTTACTATACCAGGCAGGAATGATGTCATAAGAGGCTTTTGATGCTACCAAGCTCCCCTATTCTGATTGGATCTTTGCCCTCTCTCCTGCTGTCCAGGGGCACAAGCAGGGGTCAGGCAGGACATGCTGCCACAGGGGGGCCCAAATCCAGAGGTGAAAGCTGGTGCGCCCTGGTGCAGTGCTCTGGCAAAAAGAAGCTGGTGGGCCGATGTGCTCAGCTGCAGCTGCTCTGAACCAGGATCATGGGGCTCTCCTGCTGGCTGCCTTGTTAAGAAGCAGGAAGCTAGGCAGATGAAAGGGGCTGGCTGGGGATGTGCGCTACCCGCCCCACTCCGGGGCTGACCCAACTCCTGTACCTCCCCAGTTACCCTATGGAGGGGGGGGGGGGCGGGAGGTTTGCAGCCG